ATTTCCCACATTTTACATCTTAAATGAAAAATATAGAAAGAGTCATGATATCAAACACCTGTCTGTGGTTAACCCTTGGCCAACACTGAATGTAATGTTGCCACTCTGACTTTATTGAAGAAGTTACCCAACCAAGTACTTGCCTTATCAAAACCTACACTGTTTGCAAAATCTAATCAAATCAAAATAAACCCTGAAAAACTTTAAAAAATTGAATTTTCTATGCTTATCCTCTAATGCTGGTGCCTTTTATGTACAATATTTTAAAAACTGAGCCATCAGATTAGTCAAGTTTTGGGGAAAGGCTAATATAAATTCTTCTTTTCAGGTGTATTGATATCTGAACTAGAGAGACAAGGTGCCTGAAGTAATATCTTCTGTTGGTGATGGGGACAGTTTTTGAGTTGACATACAACTGTCCTTCAGGCTTGGGAAACTAAGGCCTGGTCTAAAACAGTGTTTCTCAACCAGTGATATGAGTACCCTTAGGGGTACTTGAGAGAAGTCTGGGGTGTACATCAACACAACTGAAATTTGGAGAAAACTGAATTTTTGTTTTAAGTTTTTCAGCACTTTATTTTTGTACTTTTACACCCAAAAATTTCATTTCCCATCCAGCTATGATTAAGTTATTTAAACAAATGTGTTGCAATGGTAGAAAAAAAATGGTGTGTCTGAAAACTGTAGGTACTGGGGATACTTTTTTTGTTGTGGTGTGGTGGTGGATTTTGTTTGTTTGTTTAAAGAAGTACTTTATAAAGAAAAAAAAAAGGTTGAGAAACACTGGTCTACAACACACAGTTAGGTTGACATAAGCTTCCTAGCAAATTTTGGGAAGTTGCTTGGAATCTGAAAACCTGATTGTAATAACACTTGTTATATATCAGGTATCCTGTAGGACTTAGTCAACACCTCCATAGAATCATTTTAAGGAGGGTTGATAGGATTCCAAATTGTTGGCTGTGTATATCTTCAGTGGGTGCTCACATGTATGTTGCAACGGTAAAGAATCATAGGAGAAATCACTTTTATTTATAAATGGTAAAGGTATTTTGGTGCCTAAGTCCGATTTGGAAATAGGCACTCACTTAACCACAGCTGGAGTGCTGTCTGGTCACCAATGTATAAAAAAGGAAGTAGAAAAACTGGAAAGGATTCAGAGGTGAGTAAAAAAGATGCTGTGTATGGGGGCAGGTAACACCACTTTTCTGGATGTTCCAGACGTTGTTAGCTAAAATCTTTTCTCGGTAGTTAACTCTTTAGACCAGTGTTTCTCAAAGTGGTCCATGAAACCACTTTGAGAAGCCTGCTAACTGGCCTTTCCAGTGTGTTTACTTACTAACTGGCCCACACTACTTCCCGTGGCTCCCCTTAGCTGCAAACAGCAAATTGGAGCTAATGGGAGCTGCAAGGCTCCATGGCCACAGTGCTGGTAAATAAACACACTGGAGCAGTTAGCAGGCTTCTCAAAGTGGTTGCATGGACCTCTTTGAAAAACACTGCTTTAGACCTAACCCTAATGGTCTTGCCTGTAAGGGTTAAAACCACTGACAGTAAGTCCTATA